TTCAACTGACACTCAAGAACAGCTTTTAATTAACGAATGACTCCTATAAGACCAGATCTCACTCGGTGTTGCACTGTTCATTGCCTAGGGCGAGGGAAGGGGCGTTTAATCAGACCACGGCATCTAAGCAACTGCATTGTCAAATTCATCTCGCATGCATTTTTATCAAGAGCTATCTTGCGCACATCACGAACAATGATTCAGGAACTGGTACTCCCTATATGTTACCACATGAACATCACAAGCTGCTTGTACCATATAAGAGCATGGAACTCAAATGGCTTGCTTGAATGATTCCCACAGACAACCAGAAACAAGGAACCAGTGCAATACGCCGTAAACACTGTTATTGGAGAAGTCATTTGTTATTTGATGTATTAGTATTTGACGTTTTTTAGTGAAGCTCAAGTTTCACATACTAAAATCGAATTGCCTATGACCGTCGTTGTAGCACTCATGATCAAAAAGTAGCTCAGTCGTACTGAGGCAGTAGTAACCTGACCGGTGGCGAACGACTCGACGTTTTATGTCTGCTATGAACAAGAAAGGGCCACATCGAATGATCTGACATTAATGAGAGTTTCAATTCTAGTAAAATTTTTTGAAGTCACTTGAGGCTTATGTTCGTGCGAACGCACTGGTTAGAAGCCGTTTTATTAAAACAAGACGAGTGAAATGAAAAGACATGTAATCGGGTCCCCATTCCTATCTCAAGTGGATAGAACAATGTACTAACAGCCTCCCGCAAATGAACGGAAAAACCTCAATGGTGAATCGACATTTATTGCGTATCTTTCCTTCTGAATTTATATCCGCTTGCACAAAACGCAGACAGCTTTATTTTTGACTACTGTGGCTCTTTTTACCTGCATCTGCTGAATTTCAGACATCGACGGTCGATCATCTAACCAGAATCTGTGAACTATTATCGTTCCCAGTAAAAAGTTATTTCGTACAAGCACTCTTCTGGTGAAGAAAGGATAACAAAGCAACCGGAAATTAAGGAATGAAAGTAAGCGAAACAAGCAGCTTTGTTGCGTGATTCATTTTGGTTATTTCACTCTTCACTTCAGTTCAATTTCACTCTTCCGAGGGCGTCGTTTCAGTCTTAATTAGAGCATGAGAAGCGGTTGTCAAATGCACACAAATCGATGCGCAATTAATCGCGTAGTCATTTGTTCTCTCGGTGATTCATTTGTGCTGGTATGTACCAACATCTGATCGCAAGGTTGCTGGCGGCTGGAGTTACTGCTTTACAAGACTTTCCGTTAGCGTTGAGGAAATATTTCATCAGCTGCATTAGCTTCTGCAGCAACCATTCGACACGTGCAAAATGACCTATTTGTTTTCTTGTGCTCATGAACAAGCTGCAAAAACTTTGTAAATGCAACGAGATGCTGTCACTTGAAGTTGGGTGGGAGGATGATTTGCGGCGCTCTAGAAACCCAGACTAACAAAAAAGGCGAACGTTCGAGTCGAGACTTTTATCCTGTAGAGGAGGGATAATTGATTTCAAAGCAAAATAATTAGTGTGAGAACTATTTCGACAGTAAGTCAAAATTCACGTCCCGGTGGTGACTATCAAATGAGCTAATCGTCGATTCTTAAATGAGGGTCGCCGGCTTTCTCCTCTGAATAATTAGAAATTTCTGCTGATTCAGCGGCGCTTCGTAGAAAGAAGGTGACCGTTTTTTAGTTGGCCTGCATAAAAGCGGTACATGGCAGCTGACTCCAAACCGTCAGACAGAAGTTTCGTGGATGGCTCATTGCTTTCTGTTTCGAAAGTGCTTATGATTAGCCTTACTGACCTTTAGACTGCCGTTTCCCGTTTGCTGCTCCCTACTCTTCTGTTTCTCTCTGTTTTTCGCTAATGGCTTTTCCACTGCTTGCTATCATTGGATCCCTGCAGCTTCTGGCAAGCACTCAAAGT